TGCTATCCTATCGTCCTTGGTTACAAAGTTCTATTCAAAGAACAGTACAAATTCTGTTCTTTATTGAAAATTTGGCAATCATAAATCTCTGCTTCAATCTTTTGCACTTCCAAAAGAGATTTTCGTGTGGAAAAAAAACACGCCTAGTGTTAGTTGCTTTTGAGGTGCGCCAGTCAGAGACCAGGGAAGTTTTTCAATTGACATCTACGTCTTAATATGTCCAAAAATATGTGTATCCTTTCTTTTACAAAGTCTCTGAATTGAATAACGGATTTCAGCACCACAAAACCTAATTTTGTTATCGTTATACTTTATTAAGATAATCAAGATCTACAGTCAGCCCTTCAAGTTACTTGGACGGAAAAGTTCGAACACTTGATTATATTCGATACTTCAGAACGAGTAGGGAATGTTTTTTACAAATTTTTTACTGTATGATCTGAAACATATTTTCTTGTTTTCATATCAAAAAATGCACTGCAAAATTTTCTACAAAAAGTCGTTTAAAACGTTTCATTAAAAATATACAGAAACGGTAACACATCGTCCAGTTTCTAACCCAATAAAGAGATTTTTTCCATTTTTATTTTTCTGTACGCTAACATATAGCAATTAAAAAGTTCTATCTTCTGCATATAATTAATAACAAATTTGCAGCATTGTAGAAAATTCTTAGAGTTCTTCCAAAGCAGTATATTTTCAACTCGAACTTGTTTTATTTTACTGAGAAATGGCAGGCTTTCTATTTTCAATAGCTTTGTTATGTTTAGTAGGCTGATTGAAATAATGAAATTTTCCAAATCATTCAGTTAATTTAAAAATATTTATCATTTCTATGTGATATCAGAAGAGCGAATTTGGCAGAATCAGAAACCTTATTGGTATGTATCCTGATGCTTTTTGAGCGTTTAGATATTGTTTAGGTATGCTAAAACGTAGTTTAGAAAGTTGACGGCTTTGGAGTGTGTTTATATTTTTCGTACATCTTTCCATTTTTTTATTTTGTAATAAAACATTCAAAACAATTTTTGTAGAGAATTTCGCGACACATCTTTTGATATGAAGACAAAATATATTATTAAAATTATACGTAAAAACAATTTTGTATAGAAAATAACCCACTTCTTCTGCACTATCCGATAGTATTAGATCCTCATGTATAGGGGTGATATAAATATCAGGATTTAGTTTGATGATTGAATAATTTATGGCACGCTGAAGTTATCTGCATTCATTATGATGAGTGAGCTTTTTCATTTATATTTGCCAAGAAAGAGGGTGTGGGTATGGGTGTGCGTGGGTAATTTCTTCTTCAACACCCACACCCACACCCATATAACATATAAAGCAAATGCGGCATCTTTTAATAAACTAAAATCAATTTGTTTAACAATTTTTGCAAGAAATGACTTTTCTGTAACTTTTGTAATTGTTTCATTTTTCATATCACTTGTTTTTATCATTTGACAATGATATTCATCAGTATCCTTGTTATTTAATGAAATATTATGCAAACTAACTTGATAAATCGCATCTTTGCGTGAGACTACAACTGGTAGATCAATTGTCATTGTTTTTAACACATTTTCACGAGATATCGAAAGAGTTTCGTCTGTAGAATTATTAATATAGAGGTCATTTTTCTTAAAATTTGACAGTGATACTCGGTGTTTATCATCCGATAGTAGATATTCTTGTTCAACAGGAACAACAGCAGTTGATTCTGTTGAAATTACACTTACTTCTTGCAATGAGATCTGACTAAAATAAAATACAAATAAGATATATCTAGATGTGTCATGAATCATTTGTTAATCATATGCAACGAGAGATTACCGGCATTTATTGCATTCATTTAAACCACAATAATTATTATCTAATTATTAATAGCATAAAGCATATTTTAACTATGTAAAACAAGAAACATAGTCCTGAAGACTAAATTGTCATTCTCAATTGGCCTTGTGTCTTAAGTATTGTCTTGCCTTGATTTTCAATCAAGTCTTTGTTTTCATGATAATTTCTCTTATTGAAAGAATAAAAAGGAATACTTCGAGCACCTTCTATCTTATAGACAATTCTTTTTTTACAGAATTAATTATTGATGAAAAAAGATTTTCCAATTTACGAAAGAAAAATGTTTTTTTTTGTTTTTGTTACAAACATTCATCAAATATGATTTAGTTAAATGAAGAAAAAATAACAAATCTAAATTTCAAACCTTTCTTGATTTGTTGGAAGTAATTCACTTTGTTGCTCATTATTTTGATTAGTTGTAGTTCCTGTTTTGAGTCCTCGTTGTTTAGCCTTTTCTCGTGTTTTTCGTTCTGTGCGACTTCTTTCGCTTGGCTCTTGTGACAATGGAATCTAAAGAAGATAACATTTTTAAAGTATTCTTTCTTTTTTATCGAGATAAACAATACCATTAAAGCAGCGAATAAAACACAAATAAAAATAACTACTGCCTCAAGTAGAAGAACACGTTCATAACCAAACCACAATGGTGCATTTATAATATATGACATAGTAGTTCGAAATACAAGTGTACCCCAACCTGAGCCCCAAACCGCAATACCCATAGCAAAAGAACGTTTACTTTCAAAATAGAAACTAACAGAAACAATAGCTGGTAAATAGATTAAACCAAAACCAATGCCTATTAATATATATAAAATATACGATTACCATAAAAGCAAGCTTTCAAGATGTACCTCCAATAATACCAATTGTTAGATAATAAAACCAAAGATTCGTCCAAAAACAGCTTGCTAAAAAGCCCGCAGCAGCAAGACAAGTTCCAATTGTTGTCACTTGTCGACATCCACATGTATTTGTAAATATGGCTGCAATAGGTCCTAAATATTTACTATTACATAAAAAATTCATCTTCAAAGAAAACTTCTTCACCTGTCGCAAGTATGGTTGCCTTTAAAATTCCAAAAATAGTTGCAACAGATCCTCGACTTTTGTTTAGACCATGCATCATGGGACGTAAAAATAGAGCACCCATCGAATATGTTATTCTATTATTTTAAAATAAGATTATGATTTATAGAAAATAATTTGCTGACCCGTGAATTATAAAATGTATCATAAAGGATGCAAATACAATAATCCATCTCCAATCACCATCGGGTACAACAGCCCCATAAACTACACTATTCATATTACCATCACTAGTCATTTTTAGTCTTCCATTCTGAAAGAAAAGAAAATCAGAAATAAATTAAATAACAAGACATCTGTGCTTCTCATAGTCGATTAACTATTTAGTCGTTTTTAACAACAGCACAAAAAAACAGTACAACAATGTGAAAATTATAATGCATGTATCTTTATAAACTTCGTTATTGAAAGTAAAAGAATGAAAATGAAGGAATTCTTTTTCTTTTATTCGATTATGATAGAAAATAAAGATCATTTAAATTTTTCTCGCAATTGATAGCAATGTTAAACAACTGATGTTAATGATTCTCACATTAACTTATAACGATATTTAACATAGAAACTAAAACAAAAAATCAACTAAGAAAATAATTTGTTTTGTTTTTGTTCTTCTATACGTACACGCCTAACAGTATTTCACCTAGATGTGTTGAATGATTCAGATAACGATAGCCCATTACTGTATCGAAAAGATCAAAGGAGACTATAGATATAAGACCCTACAGAAAAGCATTATTATACATCTTTTATTTTATTAGGAAAAAAAAAGATTTTGTTTTGTTGAGTTAGCAGAGAACGTAAAGAACGAAAGAGAGAAATAATATTGCTAACTGTATGTCGAGATATTGTGTATAAACAGTACCTAATAGTGCTATTATTGAGTCAGACTATAAACGAAAATTGATACCATCGAACATTTTAATATCATACAAAAAATAATGTATTCTTTCAAAATGAAACAGAAATTCTTTTCAATGATAATTTCACCCATCTATGTAACACAAGGAATTTTTTGTTTTTCGCATTACAGTAAAAGAACATTTTATTATTGACATTTATATTGTGTTAGATTATCATTCATTAATAACACACATTAAACAGATTCAAATAACTTTTATAGGATAGATGATAATGGAATTTTTTTTTGGTGAAAAACTTCTTCATTTACACTTACTTTTTCCAACAAACCAGTAGAAGACATGAATCTGTTTCGTGTTTTTCTTTACTTTATGAATTGAAATTGTAGGCTATGAGTTCGATAGATTTCGTTGTAAATGTGTTTTGAGAACTTAATCATAGTATTATGATTGATATAGTAGAATAAAATATCTTATTATGTCATTTCAATAGGATCATTTTCATATTTACGAAGCTAATTTTTTCCTATACTAAATTTTTGAATACATAAATTAGACATATTTATAAAAACATATTTTCGATAAAACGAAATTGAAACTGGACTATATTTATAGAAAATTAGAATGTTAAATATGAATGAATTTTATATTCAAAATAACTTAACAGAGCTCAACTTAAAAAATCTCTATTTTTGCCTTTTAACGTCAGTATCCTCCAAAATTCAAGAAAAAACGGAGGATTCCTGTGAAAAAAAAGATTCCTTTTTTCAAGACAAACGAATCAGACATGAAAAATTGGGCTCTGTAAACTTGTACAGTGCAATTTTGACTTCAATTTAAAATACTTTCTAGCATACAAAACGTCTTAGAAAACTCAAGTTTATGTTCGTCATAAGGCCCTACGAGAAAATCAATTTGGAAGATAAGGAAGTGTACTTAGGGCGAATTAGCCGATATATGATACCCATATTTTCCATGTTAGAAAGCTTAGAGTTTAGTGTGGTATTTATATGATTGTTTCTTAGCTAAAACATAAAACATTTTTTAACATGAATTATTGTTTTAAAAACCTACTTTTCTTAGCATTTTTTAAGATAATTAATAGTTTACACTCGAATAAACATATTTTTCTAACTGTATAGATCATAATCTATTAGAAAAAGAACATTTGAAAAAAGTAAGATAAAACTTACAGGAGACTTCTTAGTGGGTTATCTCATTTTTTATCAAAAACTTCAAAACACAACACTGAAAATGAAGATAAGCATATTTAACATTGATATATTTATATTTCACAATAAATAAATCTGAATTCAATTTAAAATACTTGTTTTTTTTTTCAATTTTCTTAGCAAAAATAATTCAGTTTTTAAACGAAGCTCAGAAAATCATTTATATTCAGACAAAAAAAAAGAACAAACTGTCAATATCAAAATGTAGTAATGGAGATTCTTGTTCCAAGAAAAACTCAACTATCGTTAGGTGTTGATGACAAAAACTACGTATTATATATAAACAATCTGTGGATATCAACAGATTATTCATGCTGATCACTTCTTAGATCACAATACCAATTAATGACATATATTTCTTCTATTTAATGTACTATCTTAATATTCTGGTAGTAAATAACATAAGAGAAAATAAACATTTATCCTTCATAGATACTGATTGCACCTCGAGAAATATTTGTTGTTTATAACATAATTTAACCGAGAAGAAAACACACCTTTAACAAAGAAACCAACAATCAGATTTGTTGATTCTAAAAGACAGAAAAGCTTATCGAAACTTTTTTTTTAAAATAATTAATTGAACTTTCAAACATTCTTATAATTGTATTACTAAATAACCATGAAACATACATATCACGAAAAAAATGTATTCCATTATAATGTCTATATGTGAATAATAACAATGAACTAAGATTTACTTTTTAAAAATAAATTTAAATTTACGTTTATAAGAATTTTATGTAATATATTTTAATAAAAATGGTTCAATTTTTTAAACTCAATCGAATTATCACGTTCGAATCTCTCGTTTAGTTTCAGAAATATCACGGCAAATATTTGTCAACTAAAATAAAGTGATTTCTTAACAAATTATTTTTTTTCTTTCAAAATATTTGTGATGATATTTGTTGAGGTTTTTCTTTTAATAGCCAACAGTGTTTTGTTTTTCGTAATTTATTTCTATGAGATTCATACTACCAAGTAATACATGTTACAAATACACAGCCTTTAAACTTCGAAAAAAGAAAATAATTATTTCAAATGACAGAAGGACGTGGGTTTCGGTAGTTATGGTGTTTTTCTTCTCCCATATCCGCTACTTTTCTTGTTTATTGATATTTATAACTTGATTTTTAATACTCTTTTTATTAGTTCATTATCATAAAAATCAGAATCAATTGAAATTTATTTCAAAAACTAATTGTGTTTGACACGATCGGCGCTAGATATCACGTCTAGTGGAAGAATTGAATCACATACGTAGTTTATTCTGTGTATTGGTGGATCCTCAAAATTCATATATAGTTCTACGTATATTTCTTACCTCAACGATGAACCTTTTCTCATTTAATGTAAATGTATTAATTCTGTTGCACTAAACAATTTTATTCCTTTATATGTGTATAAATATTGTTTGGAAAAAATAAAATGAAAATGTTTCCATATTATTATTACTCTGATAAAGATTTTCGCCATAGAAAGAGAAATATGTCGGCTGTGTAATAAGCCGGTCGATACGTTTAAGTGCGCAACAGAAAAACATTATGGAGAAATCAATGACAGACTATACTTACATATCCTTATATCTCCACTCTCAAGGTTGTGTCAACAAATTTGTTTCAAGCAAATTTTATTAAGATGCATTTATCGATGACAGAAAATTGAAAAAATCGTTAATGTATGGTATTTCTTTCAAAAGGGAATAATTCCACCAACTATTCACATATATAAAGGGTGATACGATATGAAGTTTTCCATTAATCATTGAACATAATCATTTTTCACGAGCACGTCACCATGAAAATGTTTGATACGAAAACAAAGCTCCTGCTTTATTCTCTATTACTATTACTAGTATCATCATTCGTAAGTCAAGTGAATGACCGAGAAATAAATGTAAATAATACGTTACAGTATTTATTAATATGCAAATGGATAAATTCTACATGAGATGATGGCATCATGCTATTCAAAACAGTACAAATTCAGCTAGAATTGAGACATAAACGGTGTCACATAATAACTGAGGAAGAATTGTCAACAACATTCGTCATACTTTTTCTTGCCGTAGTAGATGTAGAGAACACCGCTGTATAAGTCAAAAAATTTGGCACCCCTCTAGACAGCGTTCTAGCCAGTCTAAAAAGAAAACCCGCATATTTTTGCGTAGTTCTGTGCACCTTTTTTTCCTGTAATTTCGTGGTGCTACATTCATTTATGTGGATGTATTTTGATTTTACATGCATTTTCCCATCATGATAAATCTATCTTATTAACTATGAAAGTTGCATATGCCTTAGTTATTTTCTTAGCTGTCGTATACAAAAAGATGCAACCGATTTTCCTCTACAAAATGAACTAGTTTTGACTTAAATAAAAATAGTTCAAAGGGCTTAACCACTCAGATACATTTTTGTCGTTGATATATCTATTTTGATTAATTTAACATATCTTTCTATGAAGATTTTGTTAGAAAGATTGTGTGATAACTATATGTTACATCATTCGAAATAGGTGTGATGTGTTTTCAGTCTTATCCTTGACATTGGATGAATGATCTAATCATATAAATCGATAGACATGTGTTATAATTTTTCTTATATATATGGTCAAGTGGAATATTGCTGTTCTTTGTGAAAGTTTCAGAAGACAATGCACATAACTATGTAAAATAGCGGGAATTTTCTTCTTAGGCTGATTGGATCGGTGTCTATGGATGCCGAATTTGTTGACTTATCCGGGAGTGGGTGGGGTGTGGAGGTAGGTGTGCGTGCGTCTGAACAGAAGACTAGGATCAACACCCACCCACACCCTACATATCTATATATTGTGCAAAAGAAAAATAAATCATTCACAGTTATTTATGCACAAGAATTTTCTTCTCTAGACAAGAAATTGATCTTATTATTAACACACACAAAAAGAAACCTGTCTTTTTGAAAGGCATCTGCTTTACAAAAAAACAACGGAAATAACTTAGAGCTCACTAATTATTGCATTCTTTTTTCGTTTTCTTTTTGTATAAGATAAATTATTTCGTTGAAAACAAGAATTACCTTTATTCTTAGATATTTTATGTAAAACAAGATGAAGCCTGTAATAGATCAATGATCTATTTACATCTGATTTTCAATACTTACTCTGATAAAACAAATTAATTTCTATGATGCTTTAATTATAACTAAAACTTTTTTTCTTTTTTCTTTTCTTCAATAAAAAGATTTTTCTTTATTCTATTGTTAAATAAAAATAAACCGTATAAAAGATAATAAAAAACAATAGTCTGTTTATTATTAATTGTCGAAAATTTTATATATTTGTTTGCAATTATCACACTTGAATAAACAGAAAAAAGATCATTTTTAAATTGTTTAATTCGTAATATGAAAAAAGACAAAGAGATTATGAATAAGATACGAAGATCCCTTTAATTGTTTTTAATAACTCCATTGTATTCAATCGTATTTTCATTTTTGATAAAATTTACTAAGAATTTTAAAATAAAAAAATATTTTTCATACAATTCTATAACATTTAGGCACATAATTATTAATAAAGAAAGACGATTTTCTCAAATCAATACAACTTGTTTAGTTTTGATGCATAAAAAAATTATTTTAGTTTATTTTTTTTTTCTTTCAAATAAATTTAACTTAACAAAAATTCATTTTCTTTTAAATGAAATAAAGTTAATAGATAAAAGAAACTGAAATCTAGTGGATTAAAATGCAATGAGAGAATATTCAACAGAAATATTGAAGAATATCTTGTCATTTCATTAATTAAATATCTCGTAAGAATTAAGAAAGAAAAAAAAACTTTTTAATAAAAATAAAGATAAACAATCGATGAAAAATTTTATTCTAAATTCGAATAAATTTTTGATCGAAAATAAACTCATTGATTTATTTAAAAAAACTAAAAATGCAATGATATAATATTTAAAATATTTCTAATTATTGATACTATAAATTATTTTTTTATTATAAAATTTTGTGGAACTCACCTATATTTTCGAAGAAAATAGTGAGTGTAAGTTTTAAGTTCGAGTTTTTGCGGCTGCCCCCACCCCTTACAGACCTTAGCAATAGAAAACAGCGGGCGTTATGTTTTCTAAAGTTTTTTTTTGTAAAATCGATCAAGTTATAATTTTGAAGAATAATGAAGAAAACAAAAAAAAATAAGGCGCCGTAGAAATATTTTAAAAAATCTGTTAGAAATGCACAAATTAGATAGATCATTACTCTACACATCGATTATCGTGCAAAACAGCTATAGTCTATCCGAGGTTTTTCACTTTACGCATTTTATATTAGTTTAATGGGAGTAGAGACTATATGTGAGCTCCACATTTCAGCCCCAAAGGGGCTGCACTAACAAGCTTTTTTATACCATTCATATTGCTCGTCACTGTTTTTTTCTTTTTCTTTTCTGTAGTTGTCGAATGAGACGATGTTGTTTTTCACTCATGTCGATTACGCCTGCACGACGTTGTGGAGAAAAAAATGACTTCTTAAGCAAACATTGATAAAAAAAGACGCATTTTTTTGCTTCTATGCATCAAATGGTTGCATGCAATGTAACATGTGCGTCGCAATATTAAGCGCGACAACAGCAAGCTTCTCGTTAAATGTTGTTGCATTTTTAGATTTACAACCGATACTTTGCACCATGGAAGATCACTTGTGTCAAGACGCTTCCATTGGATGTTTTTCGCCATGTTGCTATTTGATTGGAGTCTGTGTTGAGGCGACGATCGTTGCAAATCAATGTTGTCTATACTCGGAATACGGAATCGTCATAGCCCGAGTCTTGGTGACCCAAGTCTAGGACCAGTATCTAAGAATTCATATCGTTACCCTTTCCCTTTCTCAGACTTTTCTCCGCTCAGCAAGTTTGCTTATAAGCAATTTTTATTGAAATGGTGTTCCTACCCTTGCTGCTACGATGATGATCTCTATTCTGAATAAAATGACATTCTTTTGCTCGTCGATCGCTTTTTCACACGCACAACAAAATGGATTCAACAACATTCAATGCATCCAACAGTGAAACACAATTTCAATCATGAACACCACAATAGACCACTGGAAAACAATAATGACCTTGAAACAACTGTGCTAATGTGTACCCATTACAAATTGCTTATTCACACTATTAGTTGAATTCGATAAGTTGGCCTACCGTTTTCGTATAAGACGAGACATATACGAAAACATCACCAGTTTAGCAGTGTTTCACTATAGAAGTTGAAACCTAGTTTGACCGAAATGCCTGTTCTCTAAGAAAACCCTAGTACGACTCAAGCATCAACCCAATTAGCTTGGATCCATAAATCCCCCAAGAAGATCCTCAATATCCAGACCCGACCCATGTTTAAAGTATTATCCGAATGACGAACCTGATGACCCCCAAGCAACCCCACAAGTCTTTCATAGATCAAAGACTGAATAAACGTACCCTAGTCCCTATACTCGAAACTCACTATACAACACTCCCTTTCAAGAGACTTTTTCTCTTATCAAGGATTAATGAATACGATGTTACTTCTATGTAGGTATACAGGCCCAACACCAAAATTAGACTCTTCACATGCGCAACTCATTCAACAAGAAAGTAGAGTTCACTGAGCAAAGATTAAACATATCACAATTCATTGGAATGTTTTTTTTAATTTTTCTCTAGTCACGTCGAACCCATTGGGTCCAGCTCGAGTGATTCGTTCCACGGAACATGTTCAGCTCGTCAGGGTAAGCTCATCTTAATGATCGACATCGTACTTATATCGGTCTTAATTGCTTTTTCTCACTATCAGACATTGGCCGATGTCATCAGGGTAGAATCTGCTTCGACTTGCTGCAATCATTTAATTGGTCTCAGTCTCAAATGTCTCGATGGAAACTTTGTAGAAGAAGGTAAGCAACACTTCGCCCCCATTCTACCGAGTTGTTTCAAAAGAAAAACTCTCGAAACACCTACCTATCATTGTTTCACTCATGCCAATGTCTGGTTCGGTATTTTGTAGATGCATCATTGCGAAAGATCCTTCTCAAACGCAATGTCAATATGGTCATCGCATGTCTCAATGTGGCTTTACCGCCGATATCAGTGGCTGATAATAAGACAATCATGATTTCTCCATTCGACGATGAATGCGTCTGTATTTCAGAGCTATTATCGATCACTGACAAACTGATTTATTTTGTTGTTTCTAATCAATGCGGTGACTTTGTAGTACCTTTGATACATAATCATCAACAAATCGAACACATCTACGTATATGTAGATCCTCAGGATAACTCCTCGCTTGATTGGGCAGATCAATACACCAAAATTCGTGGTCAGGGCTCTTCTATCGACAATCTTGTAAAACAAATTAAAGAAGATATTCAGTCAATTACACAACGACCGTTGCGTTGGTCTAGATCGAAAGCCTTGTTGAACGAACTCTGCATACAGAGTACGGAAAATAATTTTATGATCCCTGTCAGTGACATATCTGAAAACGATCTAAAAACCATGTGTATTGTTCTATTACATGTGAATCAACATCGATCATTTTGTCTCGCTCATACGAAGATCAAGATCAAGGAATTTGATAATATCGAAGATTGCAAACATTGGATTCAAGCAAACGTTTCATTAGCAATTTTTCTGATAATCTCAATGAATGATCTCGTCGATATATGCACAGTAGTGCAGCTAGAATCCGTCGATGCTGTCTACATCGTTACCGATATCTCATCCATTGAACAAATCCAAACTATGTCCAACTATTCGAAGTTGAGTGGCGTTTTTTTTCTCAACGAAGACTTACTCGAGCAATTAACAGCAGATATATGCTTTCATCTTCAAAGTCGCTATTACAAGCCGAACATCAGTACCTTTAAATTCCAAACGAATGCCCTCGATAATCTAACTGAATATGACATGAATTTTCTCACTTTCCAACTGTTCACTGAAATCTTTTCACAGATACCGATTCAAGCAAGTACAACAACGAGCGATGATAAATTATTGCCTCGATTAGTCAAGGGAAACACGATAATCTATAACCTTTTCAATCAATTCAACCGCAACACACTAGAGAAATCAGTATTAAAACTGAGGGAGATCTCGGAATATGTAACATCGTTGCCAATGCAACTTGATTTATCTTCTATGACAGTCTACAGAGCTCAGTTGGCATCACAACAAGATTTGGCGATGATAAATAACCAACCCAATGCTCTACTGTGCATGCAAACATTTGTGATTGCTTCAAAATCCTTTCAATCGATAACGGATATTTGTCGACGAGCAGCTAACAATGAACTCAGAGTAATTCTTTTTGAGCTCAACTTATCCGACGGTGTATTCCCAGTGAAAGTTGATGAAGATTCTGTTGTTTTCAATCTGGGTACACTCTTTCGATTAGTCTCTTCTAACAGAACACCTGACGGTATCTGGCGTGCTCAGCTGGAATGTGCCAATGATGCAGTGCAACATATAAAAAATCAACTTCAGTCCAAAGTTGGTCGTCGCCTCACGTGGTTGACCTTCGGCAGCTATTTAAATTTTCTTCAACCAAAAAATAAGGCTGCCGAAGAATATTATTATTATCTCGCCAATCTTGCGTCCAATCATTCGTGCTTACCGTCGATCTACAACAACATGGGCCTAATGTTCATGACCAATGAAATGTATGAAAAAGCGTTGGAACTGCTTCATGAGGCATTGAACTCNTGGTAGACTTCTGTTTCTAGCGCCAACATATCCTGAAAGTTTCATCTAATTTGAACGTTCCTAGGCTAAAATAGACTTTTGAGGGGGGGGGGCCTTAAGTTTCAAGTAAAAACGGCGACCCACCAGCAATTTCACACTTCGAACATCCAAACAAAGCATTAGGTTCCGGCTGATTCTGTACAATACTATTAGCAGGTTTATCATTACTAACACCAATTAAGTATACTCGCAATATTTGATAAAAATCATTTGACAATCGATATAAGCATGGCTTTTGCAATTGCTTTAAACGTGACACAATTGATTTAGCATTTTTTGCATTATCAGTCGAGATGGCTTTTTTCGCCCCACACTTACTGCAAGTACTGAGAACATAGAATTAAGACATGTACTACTTATTTATTACAAAATTATTACCGATCATTTTTTCTATATTAAAACGTATTGATCTATTTAATTCATTCAAACATGCCATGAATGCCCACATAGTCTGTTCACTGCTTGTGTACACAGCAGCACCATCAATATTACATGTCAATGATATAAAACGATTATTATTTTCATTTCTCAATGAATGTACAGTATTTCTATAAACACCTCCATGATAGATATCAATTAATGATGTTGTGGATTCTGGTAATGTTTGTGCTGATAGATCAAGATCATTTCGATGAGTTGATCTTAGAACTTCTTCAATTTGCTGTTGAATGTTCATCACCATAAATGTATGAGGAGGTATTAAACAGTTGGAATAATATGAACAATTTGTGTTCGTACATTTTTTTGGATCAATTGATTCTTGTTCGCATTCCGGACAAAAATAAGAAGTTGAATCAATGATTCTTTGTTTTGATTTTGATTTTGATGTTTCTTCGGTTCTTTTGATAATTTCGGTTAATCTGTACCAAGATGCAGGAATATTTGGAACTTTCAATGCTTTTAACATTTTCAATATATCATTAATAAGGCTATTTGTACATTTATGTTTTTTTTTATGATCAACAGTATAATCGAAATATCCTACAACAAAACATGAATACGATTATATTTTCTAAGATATGTTTATTTACTAATTCATCAAATTCACGAACTGGTGTTGTTGATGATTCCACACTCATGAACTGATCAGCAAATTCTGTTTGCTGTTCAATAAAAGTTTCTTCAATTTCCTCTTCATCAATTTCCTCTCCATCAATTTCTTCTTCATCAATTTCTTCTTCAATTTGATCTTGGTGAAATGTATCAAAAGAAATACCATATTCATCAATGTCATCAAAATATGTATTGATAAAATCGTCATTAAGATCATTTTCATCAGAATATTCAGTATTACTGTCATTTGCTGTTTCGTTTGTTGACAAGAAATTTAATGTATCATTAGTTTTTATATCATTTACTTTACATTCATTTTCATTTAAGATTTGAACCTGAGGAAATTTAAGCGTTTGAATACTTCGTTTTGCCAATATTTCGTGCTTATGTCTTGACCAATGTTGATGATTTTTTCTTCTGGTCGTTGCTTTCTTTTTTAAAGATGTTGCTTCAGGTCTCATCTGAATCTGAAACAAAAAAAATTAAAAGCAAGCTTATAGAAACAAACGTGAAAAGGTTCATCCTGAATGTCTATATACGCAATTTCGTTATGTCATCATCATAGATGACCCATTCACCCAATTGAGCAATACGCTTTCTTTTAAAATATATTAATGCGCATCAACAGTTGGAAACTATTTTGATTAATTATAACGTTGTAATTACAAACAATGACATGGGCTACAGTGTCATGTTGTGTTTTCAAGAGATTACGACTTATCCTTGAAAATTGTAGTGTCATTATCGATGAAAAACGCTATGTTGATAAAGCGAATCTAGGATGAAAATGACTGGAATTTTAAAGACTTTCCACGATGAGCAATATTTATGATCTTCTATTGGAGTTCAGATTATCAAAAGTCTAACATATTCGAAAATGGCACTACCAGATTTGATGGCTAACATTTCAACAGAATGGTCTACTATATTGTCAAGAAAACCTCAACGAAAGATTTGATGATAGGTGAACCATTATCTTATATTTAAAACTTCTTTTTTTTCTAGAAAAACCGTATGAAGTTTTTATCAAACCGAAGTGACATATGCGTGTATCAATTAACTTCTTATTTAATTTGAGCTTATGCTCATTCTAATCATATCTTATTTACAATGATAAAACAATATATACATATAACTAAGACATAATATATACGAAACAAACAAATATAGCAAACATAAGCCTATAACATGAGAAGCAATTGGTTCTCTTCATAAAACAATAATATTTTTTCTCGTTATTGGATACATAAATATTAATCAGTGTCATTGCCAGCAACATAAGTAATTTCGTTGACGTGATCATCATCTTCATTATTATTGGTACATTTTTCAACTTGTTGTTTTAATTTGTTCTGTTTTCCACGATGATTACGGAGACAGCCAACAAGACTAATATGTATCTTTTTCGGATCCACTTCTAGAGCACCATAATATCGTTCTAAAAATTCTAAACAGATAAGAAAATTGAATGATTTAACATCAGAAAAACATTATTTCATTTACCAATCAAAACTTTTTCTTTTACAATAACTTCTACTGATAATTTATTCCAATGGTTTACTGATCTTTGTTCTACGGGAATAATTCGTTTGAAAATTTCTCTAGCAACACTTGAAATCGCAGCTTTTGAGTTCAAAACTTCAGACAATTTTTCAACGCCAATTCCTAAACGTCTAGCATCGTTTGTTAAGTTTCCGATGTATCTATGCCCTATTGTTTGTTGTTTAATTTTATCTGCAAAATAGCATATGTAGTCTCGAATAACTTGATCAGTTGGTATTTCTAAAAAATATTGACATATTTTAATGTATGAATCAAAATAATTTACCTATCGTTATCGATCGTAAACGTTTTAACTCAGCATCACGTTCTTTGGTTATTTGTATTTGTTGCTCTAGTTGTAAAGATAGTTGATTTATTTTATCGACATAAATGTCATTGTCGTTGTCATTTGTTCCTGTAGTCGATGAATCAAATGTACCATTAAAAGTTGTTCGACTCTTATTTTTCTCATGAAGATGTGGTGATGGCAATGAACCAACATTACTAAGATCAATAGTATTGGAATTACTAAAACTACGCTCTTGATATTCACCAGCTTCATATAGTACTTTAGGTGGTGCTTCGACTGGCTTTTTATTTGACGATGATGACTTTGTTGATTTTTGTGCTGTTGTTGGCGGTGCATTTGATCTCTTTGTAATGATCGTTGGGCATCGTGTACTGACATTCGTACGTGATGAAGATGAATGTGAAGCAGAAGAATTGGAAATAACACCTGCTTCATTATTTTGCATTTTATTTTCAAATACTTGCTTCTTAAATGAAAGACAATTCTCACGATCTGTATCTATTATATTAGAAAAGCAAAATGCAAATACATATTTGATGCCGAATTTTATATACATACTCATGTAAACAATTACACCTTCAATGCTATTTCGTTCTTCATCACGAATAATTATTTTCTGATTTAATACTAATTTTCCACTACGAAGTGTTGGTGGTAGATCTTCTCTCGATATCAAAATTAAATCATCATTTGACTTCTTTTTTAATAATAAAAATACATTTAGTTGACCAGTACTATCAGTACGTTGAAGTGATTTCGGAAGTACAGCTGATGCCATAAGTAAAAATCTAAAATGATTCAAAAATAAAGATTAACGTTTCATACGAAATGAAATTCTTATGTTTGTAACAAAATTAGCATAGCATTTTTTTTGTACAAAATAATCATATAACTTTCACATAATTATTCGTTTGCAACAATAAAAAAGTACACTGATGGTATAACATATGCAAGCGTATTTATAGTTTCACATTTATCGGTCGAGAAGAAAAAACATAGCAGCAAGATTAATTAATTTTAAAATTTCACTTGTGTCTCCGTTGCCATTCATAACGACCCATATAACGGTTTTTTATAAAAATTCAGAACAGATGTTAACGACTTTTTACTGTTCTGTATATATATATATATATATATAAATAAAGATGTTGATTTATCATCGAGAAAATTATATAAACGATATTTAAAAAAAAATAAATTAAATTAAATTAATGAAATGAAAACAACGTGTAAGATATTGATCAACTTTTAAAATATAATTTAGGTTGAATAAATAAGAAAACATATAAATCATCAATAAAAAAAATATTTTAATAATGCAAATTAGATGCCGAAAAAGTTTCTAGGATTTAAATAAAATTTATACATTGACAATTATATTTCACATTGAGTACTATTACTATACAAATGCAGCTATTTTCAACTCTTGACTATTAAACTTAAAGTTACTTCCAAAGATTGGAATGGTGCAATGGTAACACGGTAAGCTTCTGAATCAAGAGTAAGTAGTTCGAATCTGCCTCTCAGTAAGTATTTTAAAAAAGTAACTGGTTTTGAACAAAAAAATCGCGGTAAGTGAGTTATACGGTTCGCAACAGAACACAACGACAAATGTATGAATAAAAAAAATGGAAAACTTACAGATATCGGAGATGATTTCAGATTTTTTTTCTTCTAAAAGTTTGAGACCGCAGTTTAAAATGCTACATGAAACCACGATACAGAAAATCGCGATTTAAAATGGTTAAGTAGAACCGCAAAAGTCGGACCATTTATTAGGTTTTAAAACACCGTCAAGAACCGCGGTTATATGAGGCGCGGTAACAGATGGTGTTTGTAAACCTAATAAACGGTCTGACTGCCGCGGTGCAATAGAGCCACCGAAAAATCCGAAACCAAACACCACAGTTGCCCGCGGTTTTCGCTTAAAATTTTTCCCGTGGGTTGTCGATTAAGGATGTTTTCATTGTACTCAAATTATTTTTCAATAAATAAATGCAAGAAAATAAGGCAAAATACAGGATGATAGACAATTTCAAGTTCTATCGGAATCTATAATTGCTTTTGAAAAAACGTGATTCTATAGTGATGAAAAATTCAAAAAACTAATTTTGATGACGGCGAAAAAATCAAGTCTGTGGGAATCTGGACATGAGGGTGCCTTCATTGTATTCAAATTGTTTTGATAATGAATAGAGATAAATTGAAACCTAATTATATAGGATGATAGAAAACTCCAAGGGCTTTCAGAATATGTAATTGGTTTTTAAAAAATATATCTTTATAGTGACAATAAATTTGAAATACAAGGCAAAACTATTTTTTCCTGAGGGATATATAGAGAGAAACGGAGAGTGAGCAATAGGAGAGAGAGAAATAGGTAGAAGAGACGAATGGATGAAAACAGAAAAAATGAAAGCGACGAAAAGCAGAGAGGAAAGAGAATCGAGAACGAATTACGCGATGCTCGAGCGAGAACAAGGGTCGGGACACCAAAGGACATTCGACATCCTATGTAAACGCTATTACTCTGAAAAAAAAATGGAGTTTTGCAGAACTATTTTTGGTTCTACAGCGTTTGCAGAACCATTTTTGGTTCTGTATGGTAGTCAATAAACCATAAAAGGTTCTCTACAATTTTACAGAACCATCGAAGGTTCTATATAAGTATACAGAACTGTCAATAGTTCTGTGCAATCGTGCAGAACCATTGACAGTTCTGTAAAATTGTAAAAAACCATCGACGGTTCTGCACGGTTGTACAGAACTATTGAGAGTTCTGTACAATTTTACAGAACTGTCAATGATTCCCCACGATTGTACGGAACTATTGAGAGTTCTGTACACTTGTATAGAACCGTCGATGGTTCTGCACAACTTTACAGAACCATCAATGGTTTTGTACAATTTTACAGAACAGTCAATTGTTCTGCACGATTGTACAGAACTATTGATAGTTCTGCATACTTACATGGAACCGTCGATGGTTCTGTAAAATTGTACAGAACCATAAAAGGTTCTGTATGATTCTACAGAACCATTCGATCAACATTTATTAAGCCCCTCCCCCACTTCTGGATTGAAATATGACTTCTGATGAACCGATTGGGCTGAAATTTTCCGTGCATGTTGGCTATGTATAGAAAGAATTATTAACAACTTTTCATCCAATCAAAGTTTTTTTTTCGCGAAAAGAATAACGGAGAGAAAGAAAAATGAGAGGGTACCTTGGGGAAGATTTTTCGCTCGTTGTAGTCGATGAAAACCGCACAAAACCATATCAAACGACATAAAATACTTAAACAAAGAGACTGACGCTGAGCTTTTTCTAAATTTTGTTTCACTCATTTTTGTCACCAATCAAAAGATAACGCATGTAAAAATCGTTCTAACTCTGAACAGTATAAAATAAATGACTGAGCTCTAAAATAAAATACCGAAAAACCCCAACGTCAATCTCTTCAGTTTTTCATGGGCCATCATACGAAAAAAGAATGAGTTAATTTAATGAAGGTTGAAGCGAGAAAAGTCTTCGCCAACATCGAAAAAGCATAAACTGAGAAAAACGAAATTCAGCTTTTTGATGAAAAGTTTGAATGTATCCTTCATTCAAAGTACGTGTATTATACATTTTCCGAATGCCTTCAGCATCCAAATTCTAATAAAAAATGAAATTAATTGCCAAAAAAAACTTTAGAAAAGTGTATCAAGTGCGACGAATATAGCAACCCTATTGAAAATAAAATCACCGTTTCGTGATTTTTCATCAATTTTTGAGGTTAATAATCGGCAGAGTACGTTCTTCTCTTTAAATTCAAGGTGAATTGAGATGTTTTACAAACAGAATTATTTATTTCCAATCTTCTCAACGCCATCCTCAGGGTGATAGAGCTCCCAAAATCTCATCAAAAACCAGACGAAGACGGTATTTTTCTTCAGAGTGACAGAAATTTTGAATATAGATGCTTCACTCTGTCAATTTATGCAATAAAATAAAATTCAACAATACATCGAAGAAGTCGTTATTCGGAGATGGAGAGGGAGGTCTTCAATCACACTTGTAAGTGACAGATAAAAATAAATGCGAAAACCTCGGATTTAAATCCGAGTGTTATGTGTACTTCAAAAAGTGAACAAGTATATTCACTTTGTTTTTGTGTACTCAAAAAGTGAGTACACTCTAGAATGGGTCAGTGTGTCCGTCCGGCCGGCCGTTAACATGATAACTTTTGAAAGGAGAGTCCAATCGCGATGAAATTTTCTACACAGTTCAATCTTAACAATGTCTCGGTCGAGTTCGAAGATGAGCAGGATCCGTCAAGAAATGACTGAGTTATCGAAAAAATTGTCATTATTGAGAAGACCATCCCTGGGGGGGGGGGGGGGTACAGGGATTTTTCAAAAAAAAAATTTTTTTCTCAGAATTATTCACAACATATATAAATCGACTCAGTTTTTAACGCTAATTCCGAATCTGATATTAGTTTTGAACCAAATCGTAGCTTTCTAACAAAACATCCCATGAAAAATGTCTCAAAATGCAGAAAAACTGCATGCAAAAAGAAAATAGGCTAAATATGGCTCAGTTGATAGGAAACAGTGAATATATCTCTTTACTTTTCGCAGTACACATAACACTCGGATTTAAATCCGAGGTTTTCGCATTTATTTATCATTTGAGACAGATCTAGGCTACTTACTTTTGGATGCCGTTTTTGTGCCTTTCTAGACCTTTTTCAGACAATGCTTTGTTAGAAAGCAACGATTTGGTTCAAAACTAATATCAGATTCGAAATCAGCATTAAAAACTGAGTCGATTTATACATGTTGCGAATAATTCTGAGGAAAAATTTTGTTTTTGAGAAAATCCCTGTACCCCCCCCCCCCCCCCCCCCCCCCGCGGCGCGCCCCCCCCCCTCCAAACCTGCCCCTACAACACCACCCCTC